TTTCAGAACTATCTTCTCCATATGGTGGTTCAGAATTGTAGACTACACTAAAAAGGATAATTTTTCAGTTTAAAGCATTATTAGGTGTTTTGGATATCTCTATATGTGTTGTATATTCTTCATTGGAGTTGCAGGCTCTCCTTGAGGATCTATGTATAAGTGGTCCCTATTATATATAGACATAGATGCTTTTTTCTAAAATATGATGTTTCTATATGAAATCATAATACATATGCAACCAGTCCCAATAATAGTCGAGATCTAATTCATTCAGTTTGTTTGTTCTGTTTTACTCTCCCTGAAGCAGGAGGAAGGTTGATGAACTTAAAAAAACTAGAGTTTAAAACTATGAGAAAACCGCAAGGGGGGTGGGTTGGTTTGAGTTTGGAGGGGAAAGGGTTTCCCCACACAGATGCAGACTGGCTGCCATGGAAGAAGAATGGAGCGGGGAAAGCACTGCAGTTACAATTCTTTCTGTTTCCCATAGTTATTTTTTCAATGAGTTTTCCATAATGTCTCTCTTATTTATCTTTTTAATGAATCATTTTTAAATTTTATTCTTGATTAATCCCTGTTTTGTTTGTTTTATTGGCCTTGTCATTGATTTCTGTCTTTATTTTTATTATTTTTCTCTTGTTTCTCTGTTCTCTACTCTGGGATTCTTTTTCTTGGTTAATCTAGTTGAATGCTTTCTTTGTATGCAATCATTTTTCTCTTGATAAATTAATTTAGAGCCACAAATCATTCTGTAACTTCCACTTTAATGGTTTCCTACTAATTCTGATAAATAGTATTTTTGGTTCCAAGAATTAAAAATTTCCCTTCTGATCTGTTTATACAGGGCATTATTTAACATTGTGAGTAGGATGTTAAAATTCAACTTTTCCTATCTCCACATTATCTGGGACTCTATGGCTGAAAGCTATAAATGCCTGCTGTACCTAGAATTTTGTGCTGATTCTTTAGGCTCTTTTCACATATTGATTCTTAAATATTCCTAACGGGAAGGTAAATTTTACAAGATTGAGTAAAATTGATATTTCATATACCCCTTGAAACACAAAAAGACACACGTAGCAGGATGTTTACTGCATTTCTTAAATAATAAGTTATTAGAAATCAATATCAAAATGGAGAAATAAGTTATGGAATATTTATAATAAATAAATCAAATTAATGGATTTAAAATCTATATATCAATATGAATACATTTTTTAAAGTATGATGTTAAATGAAAAGGCAATTTCCGAAAGTGTACACATTGTATGTTACAGGTGATGGAAACAGATAAAACAATACAAAACCAAAAAAAAACCACCACATAAAACAATATACATTTTTATGCCACCCTATGTTGTTTATGAATTAAAAGAAGACCTAATGTAAATAACATCAAACAATAACATAATAATCAGGATGGCTGGCACATGAAGACCTTGCATATAATTTTGTACTTATTTAGATGGAAGGATATTTAATATATATTTAATAATCTTTAAATAAAAGTGTATCATTCTTTTTGCTACAATCTCTTTTTTTAAAGCAAAAATAATTATTTTAAAATTAATTCTCAACCATATTTACTTTTGGTTTAATCTGTAGTCATATATACATATTGCACTTATGTAGTTTCCCTATATTATAGAATTTTCCACTTTGCAAGTGCTAAAAGAAAAATAGAAACCAAAGTAGGTCTTTCTTGGTTCATGGGGCTCTGGGCACCGGGCCTTTGCATTGGCCCTTTAGGAAGACAGTGTAGTGCAGTGGGAAAAGCATGGAATTAGAAGTCAAGCTGACCTCATTCAAGCTACAGTTCTCACTGTGGGTGACGTAAGATCAATGTTTTAATCCTTGTGATTCTCAGTTTATTCAGCTGCTAAGCAATAGCAAAATATAAAACCTATGAAAGAATCAAAGAATATTTAACTATGTACAAAGCAAGTATCAATACTCATTACTGACATTATATATTATTATATATTTATATATAATTGCATTATTCTGTACCTGCAATTATACCTATTTATCTCAGAAATGATCTTTAATGGAAATAAAGGGATGTTCTTTTTAAGAAATTATTAAACACAATAAACATTTTTAAAAAGAATTAATAGACAAATAAGGGTAAGGTATATATAGTATTTACTTTTGTAAAAAGTGATTTTAAAACCCCATTTTTATTATGCTCACATATTCTGTGAGCCAGGGAATCAGACAGACTGGTGGGGATTACTTGTCTCTGTTCCACAATGTCTGGAGTTTCAGCTGGACAGACTCAAAGGTTATGGGTGAAGGTTTAAAACTTACTTTGTTTTCCAAATGACTTGGCAGAAAATGTTTTTTAACAGAGTTAGCTGCTCTCATGTATTTAAGAGCTAAGGTAGTATAAATAGCCAGGAAAACTGATGTCTGCCTATTAAGAGAAATCCCTGAAAAGATAATATAACCCAAATTTAAAAATGAGTTGATTTTGATATAGAGTTGTAAGAACTTGGATGTTATATAAAGTGGTACATTTATTTGTGATTCATGGGAATAGTATTTGTTATCTTAGAAAAAATAACTTAACGTAGCATGATATATACATTAATATAGTATATACAGAAAAAAGTGGGGTATAGGAACCTGGATTGAGATCATACTCAACTTTTTTGAAATAACCTGTGTATAAGAACAACTAAAATGCTCATCTGGTATGTCTAGATTTAATTTCTAATTCTGCAGCTAACTAAAACTCTAGTTTCCAAACAAATCTGCTCACAGCTAGATGGCCACTATTTTAAACCATCAATGAATGGCTGACTCATCCAGGTTACAAGCCTCAATTCTGTATAAAAAATAAATGGAAAAACACCCTAAATTGTAAGCAATCAATACGCTATCAGAAACTAACAATGTGCTTTAATTAAAAAGGAAAATCCATAGTAATTCACTTTTTCCTTTCCACTCTTCACACAAAACAAGAAACAAGAAATAATATAGAAAAGCAATTAAAATGAAGTCACCTTTTGCCCTTAGAGTGTCTAAGTACAGCTTTTCCCAATGAAATAATTAGCTTTAGATTTCTCATTTTCCTCCCCTTTGTCATACAGAAATTACTTCCTCTCTTCCTATGGAAATAATGCCTGAATTGCCTCTTCAGTTACCCCTAGGCTTCTAAGGATCTCAGTAATCTTGTTATTTCATGAAAATAGTAAGACTGCATGGTTACAGGGCCATTGTCCCTATTGGATTAGGACTTTGGGTTGGTCTAGAAAACAGCCTCATTTGGTTAATTGCAATAAACTTGCATAACCTCTAAAACTGAAGTCAAATACTGGGTGTGAGTGAGTGTGTCATGACCACAGACTGCACCCAGCACCTGCTCTTGCAAGAAGGAATAACTGAAGGGAGGATTCACTGGACACAAATGTACCAACACCATTGCAAACTCCAACATTCATGGTACTTCTGACCGTGATCAGACGTCAAAAGAAAGCACACCCACTACTTTGATCTATGAACCAATGCCGAAGCTACAACACTTTGGACAACAAAAATCTCTTGGTGGCATTACTCAGAGCACACACACAGGCTCAGGACAGAACACAAATGAAACAGAGTGGCAACACATGGAAATGTTCATACAAAGGAAAACTGTATGTCCCTTCCAAACTATACATGATCACTCTCATGCATGTATTCATGATGTGGCCAACACAGAAATGTCTAGTCAAACACTGTTGGGGTTGAAAGTATTTATAGATCCGCATGAAAGACTCAGTGTGGCTCATGGGAAAGAGGAATGAAAAGTGAAGCTCCATGGGGAGTTTGGGGATAAAAAATTAAACATGGAACTGCCATTTGACCCAGGGATTCCACTTCTAGGAATATATCCTAAGAAGCCTGAAACAGCCATAACCAGTTTGGCTCAGTGGATAGAGCGTCAGCCTGTGGACTCAAGGGTCCCAGGTTCAATTCCGGTCAAGGGCATGTACCTTGGTTGCAGCGACATCCCCAGTAGGGGGTGTGCAGGAAGCAGCTGATCGATGTTTCTCTCTCATCAATGTTTCTAACTCTCTATTCCTCTCCTCTCCCTTCCTCTCTGTAAAAAATCAATAAAATATATTTTTAAAAAAGAAGCCTGAAACCACCAATCAGAAAGGAAATATGCACCCTTATGTTCATAGCAGTGTAATTTACAATAGCTAAGATCTGGAAACAGCCCAAGTGCCCATCAGTAGATGAGTGGATAAAAAAGCTATGATTCTGATCTCCTTAAAGGTGAGAAATCTGAATTTCAAGATAAATCATGTGGATAAAAAAGCGATGGGCACTTGGGCTGTTTCCATATCTGCATACCATGGAATGCTATGCAGCTGTAAAAAAGAAGGATCTCTTACCCTTTGAGATAACATGAAGGGACCTGGAGAGTATTATGATAAGCGAAATAAGCCAGTCAGAGAAAGACAAATATCACATGATCTCACTTACCATGTGGAATCTAATGAACAAAATAGATTCAGAGACATGGAAGCATGCAATAGACTGAAGGTTCTTGGAAGAGTCGGGGGTCGGAGGACACAAAGACATTAATCAAAGAACTTACGTGCATATATGCATAACCCATGGACACAGACAATAGTTTGGTAAAGGCCTGGGAGGGCGAAGTGGGGAGGAGAGGTTCAATGTGGGGAAAAGGGGACATCTGCAATACTTTTAACAATAAAGATAAACAAATAAATAATCTCCTCTGGCATTAGGAGCTAGCCAACCTCTCAACGTACAAACTGAGTGCGAGATACCAGGCAAAGGGCATCCAGGTTTGTTGCATATCTACCATGTTTTAGGCACAATGTTATTTTTTTTAAGTGAAAAAAATGTCAAACCACAGGGTGACACAGTCGTGAGATAGCATGAACACCCCTGAAAAGAGAAGACTTCCCATTGGTGAAGATCCCACCCAATCTTCTCCCAGGAGTCACAGTGGCACATGGGTAAAGAACAGAGAGAACTCTTACTGTAGAGCATGGGAGTGGCTGAGATCTTTCATATCGGAGTCCTCGAAACGCGGAGTTATCATTCCCAGACCGCTGTCACTCAGCATGCGTCTCCGTAGCGAAGGATTCCACCAGTCTGACATCCTGGGAGAGGGAAGGGCACCAGACAGGTAAGCAAAGTCAGCCACAGGACTTACCTACACTTTCTCAAGGTGATTCTTGTCTCTAAATGTGAAAAGGGAAATCCATCTCTATTGGGCATTTACTAGGCACTTCACGTTTATTGTTTCATGTAATTTTCTCAACCGTCATGAACCATTTGTATGATTCTGATCTCCTTAAAGGTGAGAAATCTGAATTTCAACATAAATCATTTAAATGTAACATAAAAGAAGTAAAGAAGCCTGATACTGAAGTACGGATAAGAAAATAATAAAGCCCATCCTCTTCCCCTGCTCCACTGTTCCTGGTTTATGTCTAGTGGGGGCCCCTCATGAGAAAAAGAAAGGGACTGATTCAAGTACTTGCGGATGTTCAGGCTGTGGTATTTACGAGCTAGAGATAATAGAGTTCTAACCAAGAAAAGCCATTTCTTTTGGCCATGATTTGACACAGAGAGAATGACCAACAGGTCGAAGACTAGGGTGAGCTTGGCAGAATGGATTCACCCTTATGAGATCAAGGATGGATTAGGTCAAAGGGATGTGAGTCATGCGTATGCCCAGTTCGGGTAAGGTGGGAGGACAGCTAGACTCTAGTACCTACTGCACCTGGGGTAGGACTCAACACTTCACTTGTTTTCCCCACAACGAATAGGCTTGATTTATAGTCCATGGACCACAAAGAGGGCCCTCTCCATCACCTGGAGCTCCAAGGGTTATCACCCTTTGTGCCTGTTGGCTTTACCTTCACACTGGGATAGCTTTGGTATCACTAACTCTGGATTCCTAAGCACAGCTATATATCTGTTCCATCCTACAACTTCTGTCTTCTCTTGATGCCTACACACTCGGTCCACATCACGGACATGAGCTGGCCCTGGCAGAGTTGGAGATACTTAGAAATAGCAGCAAGTGAAGAGGGGTAAACAGGCATAAGGGTAACTCAAATGAGTAGCTCTGCTTTTACTGTATAGGTATGTGTGTACACTTTGTATATGCTACTGAGTGCGCACGCGTGCGTGTGTGTGTGTGTGTGTGCTTTCTAAGGAAATCTTTATTTTAACCAGTAAACCACTCAAGTTCACTAGACTTCACAAAGGGCAAAGATTTTTGTCTATTTTAATTTTGGCATTCTTGTTCCCAAGTGCTTACACTAGTATATGGCACATAAAAAAAACCTCTAAATAAATATTTCAAATTGTTGAAATAACCTAGAAATATCAATATCATTTTGGTGGTTCAATGTCATGGTTAAATTCATGGGTTCTGACATCAGAAAACCTGTAACTACATCTCAATTTTTCCATTTATTTTCTGTGCAATACTTGGAAAGTTACAGAACTCTCAAGTCATCAATTTTCTTATTTATGGACTTAGGACATAATAGTAGCAAATTACAGGGTCATTGTGAAATGATGACAATGATTTGAATAAAAATAATGCTTAATGAGTATCTATCAAGTGCAGGAACTCTTCTAAATGTTCCACATGTATCAATTACTTTAATCTTAGAACAATTCTATGAGTAGGTGTTATTATTTTCATGATACAGATGAGGAAATAAGTACAGATGACTTAAGGTTATTAAGTCACTATGAAGTAGTGGCAGGGATATAAGAAAGGCATTTAGCACAGTATGTGGCTCATAATAAGTGCTTGGCATGTGACAGTTATTGTTATACAATCTCAATGCTTCAGGATGCTTGGATATAGCAAAGAAGAGGGAGGAGGTGGAAGAGGAGAAAAATAATTGTCAAATCACTTGTGTCAATTTTTATTTGGCTAACACAGGCCTTGTAGATACAGATGCACAAATGCAAGTGCTCGTGCTTTCTAGTTTGGTAGGAAGTGTGGATGTGATGGGTAAAGAAGGCTCAGGCAAACCTGGGTGGGAAAGTGTCCTTCCACACAACCATTCATAAGTCAGACTTATAGTGAATCCGCCTGTACAACACTGATGAAACACAACAGGAAAAGCAGTAGAGTAGCCCCAAGTTACCTGTGGTCTCACTTTCTGTGATTTTAGTTACCAGAGAAATAATTCTTAGGTTTTAGATGTCATGACATTCTGAGTTGTCTGATGAAATCTTATGCCGTCCCACTCTGTCCCACCTGGATGGAAACCATCCCTCTGTCCAGGATCTCCACACTGCACACTACCTGCCCATTAGTCATTTAGTGGCTGCCCATCTAAATTATAAGATCGTGGGGCGGGAGGTATGGGGGGAGGAGATAGAGACTATTCACATAACATTTATCACAGTATATCATTACAATTGTTCTATTTTATTACCAGGTATTATAGCTAATCTCTTATTATGCCTAATTTATAAATCAAACTTTATCATAGGTATGTATGTATAGGAAAAAGACTAGTATATAGGGTTTGATACTAAACACAGTTTCAGGCACCCATTGGGGGAGTGGGGTTCTTGAATCATATCCCCCATGGATAAGAAGGGGACTATTGTATTTTAAAATAGTCTGACATCATTAGAAATGTCAATGCCAAAGCCAAACAAGACACTGTGGGCACCCTGTGGCCAGTCTCACCATCACAATGTCAATGGAGCCGCCTACTCACCCTGAGGCTTGCTCCACCACCAGGTCAGGCAATCCTGGCGGTGTCCCAGCCTGCTGTGACAAGGCCATGTCTGGGTCCAGAATAAAAACCTCATCTTGAGAAATCTCCATCACAAAGTGCAAATGTTCCTAAGGAAGAAAAAGAAGTTTGTCAGAGGACTGACAGGATGCTCAAATCCATCATCTGAAGGGTAACCAGAAGAAAGCTTTTTGGACTTGAGGAATAATGAAATTCCGTGACTAATCAAATGACCACAGTCAATGTTCAGAGGCCTGACCAGTGGACATCCCTCCCTGAAGCAATATCATAGCAAGAGGCTGGGGAGGGAGAGAGGTGAATCCCTCTTGGTTTGGATTCCTAGTTGACCAGGATCTTGTTAGGTATAACCAGAGATGCCCAAATACTGCCAAAGAAGTGACATCCGCAATGAACTTGGTCCAGCATGAGTGGACTTCCTCCCCCTAGGATCTGGTCAAGGCTAAATAGCATCATTAACTAGGTGTTATGACCGGATTCCACACTGTCCTTTCTTTTTGCAGGAGAATTTGGACAGTGGGAACATGTTGTCATTAGGCATAAACATTTTATTTTCTTATTACGGAACTCTGAGAGGTGAGGAGTTGAAACTAAGTAGCCTAGATATACCTGTATACCTGAGATCTTAAATTTGAGGTGTCAACTTTTCAAAGGCACCTGTTTTGACTAGGAAGCAGTATTTATAAGTAGTAATGTAGGTAAGGATCTGAAGTGCAGGCTGGCGATGATACAAGTCTAGCTATTTTCTGTACTCATTTAAAAGGTCAAGCCATATCATCTCCAGTCCACAGATCACAAAACACAAGACAACTCAGGGCTTAGGGCGAAGATTATAATTCCAAAATGTGTGTTTCTGTGTTTTTGTTAGAAAAATTTATCAGATTAGATACCAATAAAGCATATTTACTAGGGAATTTTTCACTTTCACAAGCAGGCTCAAGAAAACATACCTGAGATCTGTCTATTCGATAAAAGCGATCAGCAGAAGTTGCTAGAAAAAAAGAAAAAAGGATATGGTATTCAGAGTGTCCTGTGATTTGGCACTAAATTTCTAACTTTCTGTTCTACCACATCAATCAGAAACCTTCCATTCCAGTTTAGGGACTAGTGACCGGTCCCTAAGTCTATTAGGAAAAACGCAGGACTTCCTTGCCTCTGCTGTTAGAAGGCCCTGCCTTCCCCATTACACCTGCCTGTCAAAATCTTACTTGCCTTTTAAGGAGCAAGTGAGATGTTACCTCCTCTGTGAGCCCTCCCTTAGTCCCGTCGTCCCTAACCACGGACAGAATTCACTGCTTCCATTTCTATGCACACTAACATTTTGTTTACACTTCTTATAGGAACTATCTTCACAGATAATGATGAGACTAAGGTATCTGCCTCTTTAATGGTTTGTCATTTATTCTTTATGTCTCCAGATATTAGGCCCTTAAACAGAGCTGGGACTCCATGTGTGTTTATTAAGTAAATAAAGCCTAGAAAAAAACCCTTACAAAACTCTCAGTAGCCAGACTTCCCAAGAAAGTGGTTCTTATTTTGAAAAAGATCTTGAAGCAGAGCCAAAAACTACATCCAGCATTAAAGGTATCAGTTCACCTTCAAACTGAGTCCCTAAGCTATGTCTGAAGAAGATAAAAACAGCAATAACAATAATACTAATACATATATATAAATTATTACATTTATAAATTAAATTATATACATATAATTTAAACATTTTTAAAAGGGACTGGGCTGTAGCTGTGGCTTGAGGAAAAAAAGTCTTACAAACTTGGGTTTTCAAAAATTATTCTGATTATTCTTAACATTTAAGAATTATGTTTCTCCTTCCTTAAATCTGTCTATCAGAGTCCAAATATTATAAACAGATTTTCTGCATAGTACTAGAAGGGAAAACTCAAAATGCAAACAATCATTTGAAAACCATACTTAAGAAGAAGCTTTCCTCCAAATGAACTAAGAAACAAAACTGTCCCGGCCCCTGCCCTCTAAAAGTAATAGGAGAGGAGACCCCGCCTGAGAAGTACTTTCTCTACTCTGTTCTGTTTAACCAATTGTGGATAATGGTCTTAATCTCCATATTAGTTTCACTCTATAAATAGTTTTATTAGAAACAATGTTTATTTAAACATTTATTATAATTTTAGGAAAGACTGTATATAGAACAGACTATCTGTAGAACAATTCACATACATTTCCATAATTTTATTAAATATAAGTCGTTCCTCTGCAGATTCAGGGGAGAAATGATTGCTTTTCATCATCAGGAATAGGAGAGCTGAAGGAAGAGCAGCGTGATTTACCTTCAGAGGTAGTTGATAAGCCATCAATAGAAAGGTAGGTCATGATTTATAATGGCTTAGATTTCAGATAGATACAAGTGCTCGTCTTCGTGATACTGATCAGACATCTCACATCCTGTCATACTCCTATCCACAGTTATATCCTCTCGGATGCATTCACAGATAAACAAAGATGGGTCTGTGATGAAAACCACGTAAACTAGAGAGACACTGGGTGGTAGATACACTGGGAAGCATATAAAAAGGAATGGATTTCAATATAGGTAACTGAATAGAAAAATAGAATTGAGAAGCATCGAGGGATTGAGAGATGCTTGCAATGGAAAATGGACTCATTGACCGATCAGAAATAACTGACCTATTATGCATTCAATGTCATGCTCAGCTGGGCAGGTATGAACACAACTGAAATTTTCTACGCTTTGATAAAATCTTATGCATCACACTGAAGTGATGATTTGGTGACAATGATATAAAAGCTCCAAAATATGCAAGAGACATACATGCTGGTACCTGTCCCATGGTTACTGAACCTAGCTACTGGCCTCAGTGTAAGAGAGGCACTCAACTCTTTTCAGGAAGTGGTGGTGAGAGCAGGGGTGACAGCGATGAAGGGAAATGCCAGCTTGAGCAATCTGATGCTGAGTTCAGCCAGAGTTAACCAGCTCGCTTTGAGGAAAATGACTTCAGAGAGGTGTTACAACGTCAGCAAGTCCACATCATTGAGGAACCACATGAAGGTTTCTGAATAATCTTTTGGAAAACTGGAGTCCAATCCATCAATGGATGCCTTGCCCTGCAGCTTCCCCAACCCCCACCCTTCCATGAAATACAGGAACACTCACCATCTAGAAAGCACCACCGTGGGGAGAGTCTCTGAGCTGAGAGTGCCCTGGGGAAGGAGGTTTCTTGGTCCTGGAAAAAGACACACACATTCTATGGCTCCATTTGAACGACCTGAGGAGCTTCCCTCACTCTACATTCTGCCACATCATCTATGTCTAAGAGCAGAGCGAGCAACCTTTCCTAAACAAAATGCTAGTGCAAGACCAAATCATCTATACTAGTAAAGGGTAATATGCTAATTAGATTGGGAGACCTTCCAGACACCCTTCAGGACAAAGTCATGGTGGCGGTGCCAAGGCAGAGGCAGTTAGGGGCGATCAGCCAGGCAAGTGGTTAGGGGCCAGTGGAGAGGGATGTCCGACTGCAAGTCAGACATCCCCAAAAGGGTCCCAAATGGGAGAGGGTACAGGCCGGGCTGAGGGACACACACCCCTGTGCACAAATTTTGTGCACCAGGCCACTAGTATATATTAAAAGCGTAATTGCTAATTAGATCAGACATCCTTCTGAATGGTATATATATATATATTTATTAGAAGCAAGGTCTCTGCTTTGAAATAAATCATTTCACATAGAACTTTTTAAAACAATTTCCACATAAAATTTCTAAGAGGTTTTCAATTATTCCATTCAGCATTCATAAATGATAGAACGTGGGACATTCACTTCCTTTAAGGAATTTCTTTCCTTTTGTGATGCTGAGAAACTGGCTGCCATTTATATCTGTGTTCTCCACATAGATATAAAATATTCCCTACAAAGAGAATCTCCAGGGGTAGAACCCATCAGTCTTTTACAAGGTGAGTCTGTATGCTAAAGGCTTAGAACAATAGACCTAAAGTTACCAGAACAAAAGGGATACATTTTATTGTTAAAAAGCTGGGGTATATGGAGTTTTTAATATGAATGGATTCATATTAAATAATTGACAGAAGAAATTTGGTCTCACTGAGGACTGGTACCAAAATTTATATTTATATGAGTAGAATTGATATGGCTATGGATACAGAGATAAATACATATTCCTCTGTTTTGGATTGGCTTTGTCACCCTATTGATTAAGCTAAATAAAATCTTGACATGTGCTCAATAACTATTTATATGAGAATTATGTTCAACATTTTGAAAATTATATTTTGACGTATGCGCTATCTTGTTTTTCAGAAACTTAAGGTTCTTAATGTTACCAACATGTCTTGGTTTGGTGAGAAATATAATCATAAATCAAGAAATTTGTAACGTACTTGAAATATTGAGAGGCAACTATGAAAGTGAATAAACATCTTAAACAAATATGGCTGTCTTCTCTAGGAATAAAAGAACTTGAACACTAAGGATATTGTCTGAATTTTTATGTGGAATGTGCTACCAAGACCACCATGAAAAAATATCCTAATTTCCCTAGGTTAAAATACACTCTGAAAGAATACAGAAATACTTGATTTATCATTTCTAAAGACTATTCAAATTAGAAATATTCTGCTAGAATATTCAAATTAGAAAATGTTGGATATTATTTAGTCTAATGTAATAAAATGCAGATTGATATATTGTCTCAGCCACATAACTTGCTTACCCACAGGCTGATAAAGTAATACTCATATCATTATATACCTCTTTATGTGAGAGCATCTGTGTCTGGAGAATTTTATGCCAGTGCCTGACTTTTCTTTGTTTATTTTGCTTATTTTCTTGTCATTTATTTAGTCTCACCTTAATTCATGAAGCATTTGATATCAATTTCCTTAAAGGAATTTGGTTTAAAGAGAATTTCAGAAGCTTGCTCTGTGAAAACATACTGGTTGCCACAGAGCAATTCAAATCACTTCAAATAGATTCCAATAGACCCCTAAATAGGTCCAACAATCCTTGAACTCCCTCATGATTTTATGCTAAATTTGGGGTGCCTATGTGTATGTGCATTTTACTGGGTAGAGGAACCACTATTTTCTATAATTAAACCCTCTAAAGGTTAAAAAGCTATTAATTTAAATAATCAAACATTTAGACCAGAGACAATTCAATAAAATAAGAAGATTTTAATCAGTAAAAAGCCTTAACAATATTCAGACACACAAGAATAGGAATTATTATAAAATTACTGGTGATTACAGCATCAAATAATGGAGGCCCTCTGAGATTTGTAGCTGTTCTCTTGGTAGTGTGTTAGATTCAGACTAATTCCTAAACAGAAGGATGCAATGAACTTGTTGCTTATTCCTATCCATGGTCCCTCCCAAATGCGTTTCAGCCCTTCAAGTAAGGCACTGTAAGTTCTTCTGAAGTTTATTTAAAAAAACAAAAACAGACAAGAGGAAAGCCTATTTATATGGAGAGTTGGATTACCTTAATAATTGAAGTTAAACAATACTTCATCAATTTAAGGCACAGGATTTTTATGGAAAAAAATTATTGAAAAATATTTCGACACTTTCCGCATCGCCTGAAGATTAAATTGCAATCTTAGAAAATGGCTATAGAAGCACAAGTACAGCCCTAACTTCTCTGAAATGGCTTCCCTGAACTAGGTTTGCATCCTCTCCTGCCTTTTTTCAACTTTGTTAAAAACAAACAAACAAAAAACTCTTAACGAGATAATTACTAACATAATGAGGTCCTATGTTGAAAGTCATTTGAATTCTAAAGGAAAAATGTACTATCCACCCAAAATAGGGAATATTCATAATGCAATGCAATTAAATTAGTGATTTTAAAATTTTAAGTGTTATAAAAAGATACAGAAAAACAGTGAAACTTCAACAAGATTTTTTTTTTTTTTTTGCTCAACAAAAACTTCCATTAGAACTAGTGTAGCCACACACACATATGCAGATGGAAGGATCTCACCTGCATTAGGACCCTAAAGTTGGAGATTTTCCCGAAATCAGTGTTAAAATGATGCTTTGATGTAGCAGACTGACAAAATAGAAAACATACTCACACAATATACCGACACACTCTAAGACACAAAAAAGTCTGGCCACTAAGCACACCCAGACGCTGGGACTTCATCTACGAGATGTGACGGAGAAGAGAAGGGAAATCTGGTGGTGCTGAGATTGTTGTATTTCATCTGAGTTGAAAAACTGAGTAAAAAGTTACTTTTAGTAAGAAAGTTCTACTTTGGAAAACTTAAAATTTTGTAGGATGAAATCAGAAGACTAAGAATTGAGATGACAAAAATGTTCTTGTCCTTGAAATAGTATTTAAGTACCATAGGAAAGAGAGATGGATAAATGGGGAGAAACAATGTCATAGACTGTAGATGATCTAGCCTCAGTTAAGTAGCAAGCCCAGAGGCATGGAACTCTGATGGCCAAGAGCACTAACTGTGAGCACAGGACATCCCTGGCTCCATCACCTACTAGCTAAGATTTTAGGCAAGTTTCTTACCCATTCTGTGCCTTGGATGCTTCATTTGTGTAATGGCTACCAGAGTATCTACTGAAAGGAGTTTTTCTGAGGAGTAAATGAAATGGCATGTGAAACGCTTAACTCATTACCTGGAGAGTATTGTGCTAAGTGAATAAGCCAGTCAAAGAAGGACAAATACCATATAATTTCACTTATATGTGGAATCTAATGAACAAAATAACAAACAAAATAGAAACAGACTCATAGATACAAAGAACAGACTCACAGTTGTCAGAGGGGAGGGAGGTTGTGTGAAATAAGTGAAGCGATTAAGCGAAGAAGAAAAAAATCATAGACACAGACAACAGTATGGTGATCATCAGGGAGAAAGGGAGTGGGGGGAGGTAGAGGAGAGTAGAAGAGGGAGTAAATGGTGATGGAAGGAGACTTGACCTGGGGTGGTAACACACAATACAGTATACAGATGATGTATTGTAGAATTATACACCTGAAACCTATATAATTTTATTAACCAAGAGAGGCCCAGCGCACGATTGAAATTGCGTGAGGAGACACCCCGCGGGGGGCCATGACACACTCCTGACCCACGTAGCACAGGCTACCGAGTTGTGTCGGCTGGGGTGGGGGCAGGCGCTCCTGTGTGTTGTGCCTCCACTCCAGCCCGCCCCCATCCCCAGCCTCCCTGTGGCTGCTGGGGTCGGGGTGGCACTCAGTCCCCTCCCGCCCATCTGCGCACACCTCCTCCTGAGTGGTCATGATGCTCAGCTAATTAGCATATTCCCTGTTTATATAGATAGATATCACCCCAATAAATTCAATTTTTAAAAAAATAAATTCTTAACCTATTGGCTAATATATGAAAACATGCAGATACTGGGGCAGCTAGTATTTTATTTATTTTACCTAAAGCAATTTTGACCTTTAAACACAAGAAGAGCTCATCAAGCCACATTTCAGATCAGATCTTTCAGATGGTGCTATAGCAACACTACACTGCTTTATCTATAAATGCATTTGTTATCAGTTTTTGGGTTTTAAAGAAAAGAAACAGGACAGATTCATGTAAGTGGACACAGAAAAGAGTGACATCAAACAAAGGCTGAAATCATGCCATTTTTGATTTGGTGTTTGTAGGACTTGTCTTAATCAGAAATGCAATGCCTCTTTTCACAGAATTAACAACTACACAATTGTCTTAAATACAGGGTATTGTCTTCAAGGTTGAATATCTTGCATCACCAACAGCAATAATTTTCAGAACAGTTTATTTTACTGACCTTGCCTCATTCAATAGTATTCCCCATTTTTCATTTGCTGATTTGGGTTGTTACACAACTATCCATTATTTTATTCCTATAACATAATTATGACCAATCTCTTCAATGCATAGTTATTAAAGCTAATATAGTGCAAGGCATGTGATTCATAAGGTCATGAATGAGAACAAAGCATTGGCCAACTCTTCAGAGGGTGTCTAATGCACCATCTACATCCTCCGAGTTCCTTTCTTGCTCCAATTTTTGGAGTTGCTATATGTCTAATTTATCAGATTGCAACTTCTTTTCCAAAGGGATGGTCATTGTGATTTTAATTTATTTCCTAACTATTGTCAGAAGTCACTGATTTTGAGGAAAGGGTTTTTGAGTCAGGTGCCCAAAGAATTGGAGTCTCGTAATGAAAATAGCAGAAGACTT